ACAGTCCCCTATGTCTGCGGTTCGTTACGGTTCGAGCCGCTTGACAGTCCGGAAAGCTATAACTCCCGCAAGCAGATGATTTTTCGTCTATCTGTTGACCATAATCTCAAGGGACTTTCGATGTCTATGTAAATTAAAGTACCTTTCTAAAAAGCAATCTAAATAGCCAACTCCCCACTCCAATTTGCAGCAAATGAGCATTTTAAGCCTTGATTAATTTCTCACTGTGCTACATTTCCAGACGCTCACATGCAGGAATTTGCGTAGCTTTCTAGCGCTGTTCACATCCAAAAACTCTCCTAGAGAGCCCTTATTATTTCACAGTAGGTCAAAAAGTTTCAGTCAGTAGATCATGCGTTCAGACATCAAGTGAACTTATTAGACCTCGTGAACCGCTCTGTTTCTAAGCCGGGTTTTTGGTTAAAATGGTTAATTAAAACTTCTGAGATGGTACCACTTTCTCCCTTATTACTTCGCTTATTTTCTTTCTCTTACAATTTTTCCCTTATTAAAATTTAAAAAATGCTCGATGAGTTGTTTGTGTAGCACGGTATGGCGTCTCTCTCGTTCAAGATTAATTGTTGTATTGTCTCTAGATTCCCTTAACTTGCACTTTTCTAAGCTGCATTACTGAATGGAAAAGTAGGATACTTTATAAGTGAACATTTTACGCTCTTACAAGTGAACATGCTAGTCCCAGGAAGTAGTTGAGAAGAACGACGGGAAAGAACTTCTTTCAAAAGCTGGTATATTTGCGGATTATGTTATCCGCTAATTAGTATTAAAATCCTACTTTAATGATCTTTTCTAGTCCATAACACACTCAGAAATTTTCCATACAATTTCAGCACTTAGCGCATCCACTGTGAAACAGCTTATTCGCGATCAAATATTGTGGTCTAATTCAACTCTTTTTTCAGAATTCACGCAGCCAAATTCTTCTGGGTAAACTGTCAGCTTTTGGGTTCCCGTTTCGTTTCTAACACGCAACCCCCTGTGTAGCGTGCATTGCGTTGCGCGAGCTCGTCAGAATGGAGTATCACTGTAATTTTCATTGGGTACTTGCGAACCAATGATAGTTCCCCCGATTTATAGGTTGATCGCGTCCCCTTTACTGTATTTATGTCTTCTTCATCTGCGGCAATTTTCATAATTACAGGTTCCTTGTAACCCAACGGACTGAATGCATCTCAACCACAGATGTAATCGGCCGCATCCTTCGGGACTATGATGTCTACCTTCGTAGAAACATAAGCCGAGGTCTGTCAAGGAAGGAACTCAACATCAGCTATGTTAAGGTAGGAAATTTGGTACATTTCTGGATTTTGTCAAAAGTCATCTTAGTCGCCTTTATTTGGACACGAGGCGGCATTGACAGTATCGCCAAAGTAAGCAGGCACTCTGTCAGTTTGAATGCGCGTGCATTTGGAATTTTGACTAATTTGACTCTTCTTCCCACCGTCGCAATGTGCGGAGTAGCCGCAGTCAGCTGAGTATAAATGGAGTTTATATACCAGGAAACACTTTAGGAATGCTGTTGGACCCGTGGCGGAGAGCCATCAATGCTGCTCTCCTTCCCATGCTCGCTGCGTCAACGTCATGCGTCTTTGTAGGCGGCTGTTTCCCACTCGCTGAGCTTAAGATCCTTGGCCGATATCATCGCACGCGTGCCCAACTAGTCGCGGTTCCCCAAGGGCCACTTGAACATGCTAATCCCCAGCCAATGCAGCAGGGGCCTCCACAGACGACACCCCGTCGGGCAATGTAACACACCAATAGCGCACCACTTAAACTCATGGTGCGCTATTGTAAAACCAACTGTTAT